TTCGTTACGGTTAAGGTTAACGTTACGTTACGTACGTAGTACGTAGTACTAACTACTACTACTACTTACTTCTTCTACTACTACTACTATATTACTTCTTCTCTCTCTCTCTCTATATATATATATATATATATATATATATATATATATATATATGGGTTATGTTTAGATGTTCACACTATGGAGTAATTTATTATTCTACTCAACAAGTTTTAGACACTTTTATACCCTTGTTTTGTATATGGATCATTTTTTTAATAAGGGTAGTTTTGGTCATTATGAGGGATGTGGCATCATCTATATAGGGTGTGACATCACCCACATAGAGCACACTAGTGGTATTTAATGCTCCATGTGGGTGATGCCATACCCCATGTGGATGAAATCACACCCCTCTTAATGACCAAAAATACTTTTATTATAAAAATGCTCCATGTACAAAACAAGGGTATAAAAGTATCAAAAATTATTGAGTAGAATGATAAATTACTCCATAGTGTGAGCACCCTAACATAACCCTTTTTTATAGTAATCTTATGTAAATTGCTCCTTAGAGCATGCAATGTCTTATGTCTGTGGTGGTAATTTACCACCATGTACTCAACTTGTATAATGAGTTTAGGTGTCTCAACTTGTATCATGAGTTTAGGTGTCAACGTGGTTCTAGAGATACTTAGGGAAAAGTAATATTGAAAATTTTCAACTGTAACATCAGGTAAAAAGCTTATTTTGAATCAGAACAAATAAAACTAAAATTTTATAATTTTATTGGTAAAGTAATATTATACTTATAAAGTTATAAATAATTGATTAAGATTTAAAGTTAATATTTAATTAAATTTGATTCTTTTTAAGAGAAATCAAAATTTTTATATTAAAATCTTATTCTTATATTTTCTTAAATAACATAACTTTTAAAAAATTGCTCATAAATGAAATTATTTTAATTATGATTTTTTTTAAAAAAATTAATGTTTTATATAAAAAATCACAAATATTGAAATTTTTATTAAATTTTTGAAAAGGATTTTTAAATAGTTGTAAAATAATTTAGTGGATTTTGTTAAAACACTATATTTATTAAATAACCTACAATTATAAGAAAATATAAAATTAGCGAAACATTTTATTATTCTAAAAAAATGGATCTCATGGTCTTTTAACATAAAATTAGTGAAATTAGAAAC